TTAATGTCTACCCAGAACCAAAATAAATTTAAAATATTTCTGATTTGCTTTTATAGTGTGTGAGTTTGTGAGGACACTTTCACTGTGTTGTGTGAGATTGCTGTATAAGCTTATAGAGAAGACAGTCCTTCAAAGCTGTGCTTCAGTACCATGTCCTATTGTATTGGAGGTCTTCAGCTTCTGGTTTAGTGATCCTTTTTTGGTTATGGACCTTCAGATCAGATGGTAGAATGTTGAAGTGATTTGTCCCTCAGTATTCAGACTCCAGTCTGCCAGGAAGAACATCTGAGGAGTAGGAAAAGTGTGTCATACTATTCCTTCCTCTCCTTCCCTCACTCATCTTGAGCTTGGGTTCAAATCCAAACATAAACATCCATATTATGAAGTACCATAAAACTGGGGTTTCACTTCATAAAATTACTGGGAGAAATTCTTTCCAAAGTTCAAATTAATTTCATTTTTATTTGACATTGTCCTGACTCTTGCCAGACATTCATGTATGCCATCTAGTTTGCTACTCCCTTAAGTGAGTCATGGCTGTCATCCATCCTCCTTTGGAAAACCTCCTCTGTCTAGTTTAAAGGAAGAAGCAGGATCCTCACCACCTAAATGCGCAACATTTGGATAGTATTACATAGCCATTGCACAACCCCAAATAGAAGACATACATATTTCCGGGAAGCTGCCTGAAACCAGCTAACACCAATTGTTTCAGAAGAATATGACAGCTTGCATGACTCAGTTTCATTTTAGCTTGATTGTGATGGAAGCATAAATGCAATATTCTTCCATTTTCCTGCTGATGCAGTAATCATGCTTCAAATGCTACAAATCAAAGAGGTTTGATTGTATTGGTAGGAAATAGAACCTTTAGATATTGTCATCAGAATGAAAGTATGGATCAGTATGGTTTCTCCATTCAGCTTATCAAAGAAATTCTCTTGTGTATTTGGATCAAAAATTGACCAAGATGATTCTGCTAGTCAGCTTAGGCAACTTTTATTCCTACTGTGAAGAAGGAATTTTGTGTACTGAAAGAAAGCTGCTGTCCTACTTTTTATTGTCCTGCATACTGTGGCCTTAGATTTAAATGTTAATCTTGACTGCAAATTTCTGTTGATTTTAATAAAACCATGTTGGTTTCAGAGTTGCTGTTCAACATGGCTGAATGGAATCTTGAATTCAGACACTAACACATCATGGACAAAAGCTTTGCTTTTTGTAGAATGACACTGCACATTGGGATAACTGGAATGAGGAAATAGGTAATAAAGGGTAAATGTCAGTTCTTATTCATAAAGGATGAGGAGATAATTTTTTAAGGCAGAAAAAAAGAATGTTTTACGTGTTACTCTTTATTTCTATAACAGTTTTCCCCTTTTTTCACATACATTCAAGCTACATTTAACAAGTCACCTGGGAACTGCTTAGAACTATTAAATGTTTCTGTGGGAAAGACTGGATATGTAATTATGGCAGGTTAACCTGCTGAAATCAGTAATTCTACAGCTTTTGAAGAAGTTACCTTATGATTTGAGCTGAAAGATGCATTCAGGGTTGGAGTTTCTAGCAACAACAGCGAATTGCTTTCAGAACTCACACATTTATACCGTAGCCAGTTCATAAGGAAATACACTGTCAATATATAATTCAGTTGAAACCTTCAAGTTAACCTGAACATACAGAACAGCAGATTTATAACCACTTTTAAGTAGTAACAGCCTTTACACTATTTTTGTACATCCTGTTTCAGTTGAGATGAGTTCAAGAAGGATATCAAGCATTCAGACTTCAGTATCACACATAACACTAGTATTTTTTAGAACTATTACTTAACATTCTGCTCTGTTTCATTTCTAACTTTGCCATAGCCCTCTGCGATTGTTTCTTGTTAAATTAGGAGTATGTAGTGTGATTAGGAATCTCTCCAAATGCAGGGATACCACTTAAGACATTGAACATATTTGCTTATCCATCCATAAATGATTATGTTTGCTTTTAGATTATTGCAGTGACATCTAAGCAGTTGTACTGCAGGTAAGAATTTGCAAAGGAGGGGATCTGTTCTTGTGTTACTTCACATGTAACAGCTGCTGGAGTGTCTCTTTTTTTTTTCCCAATAGCTTCATATATACTCTTAATCAGGTTATTAAAATGCTTAAAATTTGAAATACAGACATTGTTTTAAAAAAACAGTTTGTTTTTTTTTCCAATGGTGAAACTAATAGTTGATCAATGTTAACTTTTATAGTTTTGCATCACCAAACAGTGATCCAAGTTGCTGTCTTTCTCCAGGCATTAGCTAAGGACTATAAAATTTTTAAAAACTATTTATGCATCTATATTGAGGGATCAATTGTATATCCTTTTATGTTCGAGCTGTATAAGGCACTTTGGTAGCAGAGCGCAGTTGTGACCTTGCTATAAGAATTATCAGCAGAAACTTGATGTATCCCTCTGATGCATTTCCCAATGCATGGGTATAACTCTAATGCTTAAAGGGATAAAGACTGTAAGTGAAGGGTAGAAAAATCCAAAGGCAGAAAATTTAGAAGTAGTTACTGCTCTTCATTGGTATGGATACAAGTGTTCCCTCTGCAAATAGCCCGTGCAATATTTTCTTGTGCTTTATTTCCCAATTAACTTCTTTTGTCTACAAAACTATACAACACAGATAAACTGAGCTTATGATCTTTGACTCATAGATAACGAGGACTAGTTAGCTCATGCCAACAATGTTTTTTGTGCTCCGCAAATCACGTGTTTGGGAATCTTAGTGGAATGAAACTCTTTTTGTGGAATTTGGTGGACATTTAAATAGCTTTTGCTTGGGATTGTCACCTGTGTGATAGTTAAATACTGTACTTCCAAAATAATTTTTACAGTTCTCAGTTCATTTTCAGTAAGCTAAGTAAGTTACAGCGGGTTGACATGATTTGATGAAAATTACCTAGCAAGCTACGGAAAAGACAAAAAGAGGTAACATCCCTCTCCTAAGTATTTGGATTGTATTTGGATTGAGAGACTTACCTCAATGCTATGCAAAGCACAAGAAATTTACCTTCTTGAACAGGGGATATCCCCTCCATCCTAATAAGGCTAAGTTGCTAAATGCTTCTCCCCTATACTTGCTTATAATAGAACAGAGATATTGGTCATGCTGTGCGATATTTGTATGTTTGGTCAGTAAGAGAAATTGATGTCATTGTCACAGTGTCTTGCAGTTAAACTCAACTGTGTATTTTTCAACTTTGCTGGAGCACCCTTGCTCTTTCCACACACGTTATTTCTTTAAATTCCTGTCAGCTTTCTCCTCTGCTTCCCTGTTGCTAGACCACTAGAAAATTGCTAGACACTAAAAACTTGCTAGACCACTAGGGAGTGGTCTATATCCATGAGGACATAGACCTAGACCAGTAGCCTGGTATCTGGATCAGGTATCCTTCTCATGCTGTCTGTCCATACAACCTCCTCTGTCTTCTAATCATCCAATGTGTTGTGTGCAGGAATGTTGTAGAGGCTACCTTAGAGAGGATTTTTTGCTTAGAGAGGATTATTACCTTATAAGGTGGAAGCTTGGACCTAAATATGAAAGGCAGAGAGAGACTCAGTTCAGAGGCATAGCAACCCCTAGATAAAGCTTGAATAAGAAGTTTCCAAAAACATAACAAAAAATAACGACTTTTCCAAGCCCTTAGTTCCTCATTTCTTATGCCATTCTTCTTGCTGGATTCACCCTGCACTGGACATTAACTCTTGTAGAAATAAATACAAGTGGTGACTTATGTAAGTAGGCACATAATCAATAGCGGTGATTTTTGTAGCCCAGCAGAGCTGGGGAAAGAGAAATTATTTGAGCTTTCCAAGAGCTTTCTGGAAAGCTCTCTTCTGGGGAACCTGTTACTCAAATATTCATGCATTTTAGTCACTAAAGAAACAGCATGTTTGGGGAAGACATAATTTTCAAAATATGTGTTTGGGCAAGTGGAATTATCCATGCAGCCAAATGTGAAGGGTACACCAAATTAGATGTCTTTATTATTTTACTGTGTTGATGAACGCTTATTAAATGGTTTTGCTATTTTAACTGCTTTGATAACTAATCTACATGTTTATAAATCTTGGCATACATATCTGAAGGAATATGCTTGTAGTTAAGGCTTTAATGAATCATACTGGTTTATACTAATCTAGTTTTGCTTGCAATTTGTAAAAGATGGGAAGTATGCAAGCAGTCATGTTGCTATTCCCAATTAAGATGCATCAATATTAATTAAATCACTAATTTAATCACTCATAGCTCAGAAAATCAGAAATCCAATGTTTGCCAAGTCATGTTAGAGTTACAGGGAGTGTCTGTTTTTATAAAATAATCTGCTGTCATCAATATTTAAAATTTATTACCCATTAAAAAATATTCTGCTACAGTATTTGCAGCAATTGTAGGAAAATGTTAAGTTCACAGGAAAACAAATGAATATGGAGGAATGCTAAGCATTACCTTAAGTGCATTATTGTAAGTTCTGCTGTCTACATGATAGTGGGGTTTATATACAGTTAGGCATAGATTTATTCTCGGAGTTAATTACTCAATGATTTGGAAGTGACTTAGCATAAATCAGTAAAAGAATCCTTATCATTTGTTGTCTCACAACTGTATTAGTTATCGTAAGTTCAGAGTATATTAAAAATATGTAAAAAAATGAGTCCTGAAATGATTTGAGAAATTATATTTTTCTTTGCCAGTTTTGGTTAGGATTGATTTTTATTTGCATAGCTGTATTAACAGGAACCATGTAATTCTACATAATTATGAATAGTAGCTGTCACAGATCTGTTAGTTATGTTCTGACTGTATGAAAGTAGCCTTTTATTTTAAAAGTATGTCCATTGCATTTTGTTATAATTTATACTTTTGGAGCATAAATACATTTTAAGCACAAAATTAGTACATTAATTTACTAGCATATTCAAAGCTATAAAACTTTTATCTCTTCTAGACAATTGAAAATGGAAGATTTGCAAAACTCAGATATATTGCACATGCTATGGTCAACAGTACAGATCTGTTAATGGTAACCAAAAGGTAAACAGTTTTAACTTTGAATAATATGTACTTAAAACAATCATTAAAATGTACATACCTTGATAATTGCTGATCAGTAACAGCGCTGTCATTTATGTAGATAAAATAATTGGAAAGGCATGCCTAATGTGCTCTTAATTATCTTCAGCTGTGGCATTGTACAGCAGAAAAGCATTGAGTGTTATTTCTCTCCTATTTAAGAAGGGAATGTTGGCTTTATGATTTCTTTAGCTGAGAAGGATTTGTTATAAACCTGGTTACGGTGAAGTCAACTGAACTGTGGGGTTCACTTATAAATTGGCATAATGCAGGAAAAAAGGATAATACCAAAGCAGAGTCAACATCTAATAGTGGAGTATCAGGCATTCTTCTCAAAAAAATGTATGTACAACTTTTTGTAAAAATACAACTTGAAGCAGTGTTACAGTTTTGCTCTGAAAGAGAGCATTTTAAGTAAGTAAGAGGAAGGTTCAAAATTGACTCTTTTGGAAAGTGTGCTGTATGGTTGTTATAGATCATTATATGAGAACTGTTTTGCAACAGCAAATGAATTCACTAGAGCAAGGGTAACATGATAACTTTTAAGTATTTTTACAATAATTTTTAAATCATTACTTTTCTGTTGCCTAGTGGCGTGTTATTTGTGACAAAAGGGACATTTGGACAGCTGATATGTGAATGGCAATACACTTACGATGAATTTACCAAAGAACCATTCATTGTTGATGGTCGAAGATTGCGCATTGAAGCCAAGGTACATTAACCTTGCCATGTTTTTGTTTTTTTTTTTTTTGTGTTAACTGCTTATAAAATTGAATTTCTACTCTCTCTCCTTTGAATTCTTGGTCTCTTTTGTAGTTGAGATACACTCAGAGAAGGGAGTTGAAATTTGGCATGGGCAAACTCAGATAACTAGCTTCTGACTCTTCTAAGCAGAATGGTGACTTACTGTTTGCAGGTGAAATTCCTTGAGCCCTGGGAATTTTTTGTTGGTATGCACCAATTCATGAAGTATTCATAGTTTGGAAAATGGTGATATGACAAAAGGCTCAGAAGATTGCAGAATATTTTTATTATACTCTCTGACACTGTGGAAATATGCCAATATGTGGACTTCTAACTTGTTGCAATCCTATGCAAATAGAGTAGAGCAATCCATGGCATGTGCTATGCTTCAAAGATTTTTTTTTCATTTGCTAGTAATCAAATTCTTCAAAAATACAGTAAGGTTTCCATATCTTAAAAAAAACCCATGGTGACATATATCTATCCCTTTCAATACAAGTTGAAGAATGTTACTCTTAGTTTCAATTATTCCTTTGAAAAAAATCCTAAAACATTCTTTCCCTGGTAGAATTGCAAAAGACAGAAGGAGAAAGATGACCACCAATGACTGAGTGTACTTACAGAGGCAGTTCCTTAAAAATATTTCTTACATTCTTGTTGAATGGTAACTGAATTTAATTTCAATCAATAAATTTACCTGACAGGTTTTGTTTCTGTTTTTAATAAGCTTCACGTGTGTAATTACACATATTGGTTGTCAGGACAGTCTTGACAGTGTACAAAGTAGATCAGTTTTTCACTCAGATTATTTGTTTCTATTGCAGAGAGCATGAAAGGCAGAGCCAAATTGGTTTGGAATCCTCCAAACTGGATTTCTGACTGCAAGTGAACTTTTACAGGATGAAATAATTCTTAGCATTTCTGCCATTTCAGACAATGCTGAATAACATATCCATCTTTACCCCTACACAGTAGTCATTTCAGAATCCATTAACATGTCTGCAGTATGTCTTTACTGAAATCTGTGGTTGAAAACTGTATTTTGCAAATAACTCCTTATGTTTTTCTTTATGCAGCCAAAGTTGCTGTTTTCACTACCTAAGACCACTACTTCCAAGTCAGTATTGGTGGAATGCCCACTCAAGAAATGACTTAGAAAGAATGAAAAATTAAAACCTTAGGGAGTAATGGATTTTGTTACCGCACATACTCCATTATCTGCCTTCCATTCCTACACACTTGATAGTCCCTTCTCCAGGGACTCCATGGTAAAAAGAGAAGTCTGTTACTGCTGGAGTGTTCCACTCCACTGTGCTTTCATGCAGAAAATTATGTTTCTCAGGGTATGTGCATGCAATGCAAACATACTCAGGTTAGCGTAATGGGTACACGTGGCTGTCTGAACCATCATATCTGTATTAATAGTAAATGACTTCTTAGTCTTAAAGTGTGAAGAAACTTAACTTCAATTCTGAATTACTGTTTTGGGGTCTTTTTTAGGAACGAGTTAAGTCAGTGTTCCATGCCAAAGAATTTGGAAAAATTATTAATTTTAGAAGTCCAGAGGATGCTAAGGTAAAGTCAAAATACTATTAAAATTATGCTGTGCTAAATTTGGCTTAAAAAGTGAAACAAATATTCTTAACCTGAAACTGCTATATATATTTAAAATTCAGTAATTTCCACATATGCATTATAGAGATGGAAATAGCAATGACCTATTCAGTACTGAATTTCAAAAATAATCAGTTTCAACATCAAACTTGTCCGTACGTAAATCTTTGGAATTATAACTATCTGTCTAAAGACTGATTTAACAGTACTACTAACAGAAACTAAACAATCTAGGATGTGAATTAAAATAGTACATTTTAATAGAACAAAAATATTTGGTAAATTACTCTTAGTTTTATTCCAGGGGTTGGGAAGGGAATTATTGCTCAGTTCCTCAAAATGCAGTTTTGGTTAAAGAATTAAGAAAATCCTTAATAAAAATACAAATTCTGTATTTGATATATGATATTGCTGCTATTATTATATACATTTTCTGTTCATTTTGACATCATTAGTTTTGACTACAATGGAGAAGTAGGAGTGTTTCAGGTCTGCTACCAGAATTATGAGTTGTGAAGGTCCTGCCTTGTTTTTATTAGTGCAGCTAATAATTTTCACAAACCATAAATTAGTCTTGTATATATTCCAGTGGGACATGGTTCCTTGGGATCATGATTTGAAACAGGTTGTGGAAGTTGCATCCTGTCATTAGTTTAAGTTGCTTTTGCACCTTCTCATCAATTTAAGTTGCCTTTTTCTTCACGGAGGTAATTTCTAACCACAGCTGAATGATAACACTTGACTCTTACTTTAGAAAGGTAGGGGCCTCATGTTGAATTTGACTTGCCTGTAATCTTTGGAGGTACTGAGGTTCTCTTTTTTTGTTTTGTTTTGTTTTTTTTTTTTTTCTTTTTGGCTGTGGTGGAACAGGGACAGGCAGTGTTGAGGTCCAGTAGTCTTTCTGGGAAGGGGATCCTGTCTATGCCTCAGCTAAATCAGGAACAATACTAAAAGTCAAATTAGCACATCATATTACGTATACCATAAGTCTTAAGTAAGGAAAAGAAAGCTGAAAAAATTGAGTACACTTTTCATAAAAATACTAGTTTGTGTATTTTCCTAGAAAGGCTCAGGAATCCAGCAAAACCAACTAAGTGGTCTGTCAATATGAGGGGGTAGAATCTGATTCTGATTTGTAATAATCTACTCATCTTCCTGCAAAATATTATGAACAATTCTTATGGCAGTCCTTTTGTCCTACTCTAGATTTCTGTCTCATTGCTTTTTACCGCGGAAAGACTTTTATTGTTTCTTTTTCTTCACACAGTGGATCCTTTCTAAACTGGAAGAAGTGAGAGAGAATCAACCAAAATTGTAATGAATGGAAAAACACCAAGATATGAAGAACGGCTACCTTTTAATTCCTCTTTAAAAAGCAGAACTATTTGAATATCAGCAACAAAAACAAAAACAAGAAGGAAGGAATATTTATCGAATTGTTTGTTATGGTCACAACAGTCTATGGCTATATCACAGAACTAGATGATGTTAAGTTAAAAAAATACCTAATGATGAAAAGATTTTGCCAAGTTTGGGCTTGGTTTTCCAGCTTTTTTTAAGATAAGATTCCAAATTTCATTTTTTTATATAAGCAGCATAAAGTGAATTAGTCTTAACATTTGATATTGAAATTGAACTCTGGAATAATTCTTATGATACTATTCAGAGCAAATGTTTCAGTTTTGATTCTGAAAATCAATACTTAATTTATGTCTTGGGGCTGTTTTGAAATACAAATTTCTTTCTCAAAGGAAATGTTATTCATTAGTGTTACAACCCAAAATATAGGAAGGAGGCTACTGATCAAAGAAGTTGAATTTAGGTGATCACAGGAGGGGCTGCTTATTTGACAATATTATTTTCTTTTTGCAAATGAATGGACCAGGTCATGATTGATTTACAACACAGTACTGCTTTTAGTGTAAACTTTTTTATATTCTAGCTAAGGCAATGTTGCAGCACCTCTGTACTCACAGAAAATATAACAGTTTACAAAAATGTGTAGTGGGGAGAATTAATATTTCTCTGCACTAAAAAATAATCATAAAAGCCTATTATTTTAAATAGAAGTTACTTACAGTCTTGCAAATCAAGGAGGAGTTGATGGGGTTATAAGTGCACTGTTGCATACCAAAAATAAATGCCTTGAACTACGCAATATTGTGTGCTAAGCAAGTGACTAATGAAGTCAGATTTATATTAAATAATAAATATAATATGTCACAGTTGCTTATATCAACTTTTCTTACCCAATGAAACTGTTTTGTTTTGTACCCAGACAGCAGAATTTTGATAGTTTGAATGTCTGCAATTCTATTTGTTTCTTAGATGTAGTAGTCATAGTGTTGTTGAATGGCTATTTACTGCAGTTGATATAGAAAGTACATGAAGCAGTACAGTGTTACATGAAGGCTTCCATGAATTCCAATATCAAAGTCTGCAAAACATCTGGTATGTATAGAAAGTACCTGCTGCCAAAGTATGATTTCTAAACAATAGTTTACAATATTTATAGCTACAGGATAGAATTCTGAAGCTTGAGATATCCAAATGGTTCCATTATTGTAAAATCTTAAACAACTAGCATGCTAACCTATAGTTGCAGATCTTTAATGTACTGTAAGTCTTGCCACTGGTGTTGAGTAACCATTTAGTGGGTTACAAAATACATGTAATCTTGCAATTTTCCCTGTAAATTGAAACAAAATAAGATAATTCCAAAATATTACAATGATTGTGTTACTCCACTTGTTTGTACACCAAGCACGTACCAAGAGTATGAACTCAGGTTATCATGCCAAACTTATGTACTTTGCCTTAGATAAGTAGTGTTCTTAAATGCCCTGAGTACCATTCTCTATCTGTCATTTGTTTATAATCTGTCATTTTCATCTTATATATGATTGTTCAATTAACAGCCTCATTATTTTCTTGATTAGTTTGTGGTCTCTTCCCTATCCCCAGCATTTACAGAGTCGAGCCTGCGCAGTGGATTTTTTAGGTGAGACGCAGTGTGCATGGAACTGGGCCCACCCTTTAATCCTGAGGTTCATCTGCCAGGGCCGAGCGAGCTTGGACGGTGGCAGCGAGGTCCTCATGATGTAGGGTTAATTAGAGTGACCTTCTCTTAGATGGATGGCCCTACAGGGCTAAGCGAGCTCCATCTCATTTACAGAGTATTTGCTGCAACTTTCATTTACAATACCTCTTGTGTGTACTTTGTACGTTTCCATTTGTGTAGCTTTTCAGTTTACCTGATTCTATGTATTTTCTTCTGTCTCTGTTTTAGTATTTCTTACATTTATTTTATCAACAAACACTGATTCTCAAATCTCATCTGGCTCTTCAATAATATTTGAGTAATTTAATCATTAATGTTGAAAAAATTATTTTAAATATGCATATTTGTGGTTAAGCAGCTCATGTTTTGGAAAAAATAAGAATTCACCCCAAATTGCATTTTTCTTATAGAGTATAAAATATTTTGATCTTCTATGCTCACTGAAAGCCTTAACACAAGAGCTGAAATGTTCAGAAGTCAATGTGGGACCTTTCCTCCCACTTTGTTTCCACTTGTAATGACAGCATGATTTTCTATAGTTCCCTGTTCTAGTCAGTGTGTTTTTTGTATTTCCCTATTCTAGTCAGTAAATTGGTTTTTTTCCTTAAACTTTCTCCATACAGTCGTGAGTGGATTTTACCATTTCTTAGCAAACACCAGTTGTCACTTTTAACTATATATCATCCCAGGGCAAAGAGAAAGGTATTCAAACTTGTGCCATTGTGTAATTTTCTGGATTACTGCAAGTTGTTTGAGATGTCCACTCTGCTGTGCCTCATTCCTCATTGCAATATGCATATTTTTTTCATGAAGGCAGAATAGGTATATTAATTTTTATTGGAAGTGTGTATGCAATTACAAAAGGGGATCTAAATAAATATTAAAATGTAGGCATTCAGTTCTGTCCACTGTGGTGTTTAAAGTATTATCATGGCCTTCACTGAAATGCTGAAGAACAGTTTCTCTTCTAGATTACTGTTACGTAAATTTAATAAATTTGAAAAATGTCACTTGGGTTCTCAATTTGCTAAGGGTTAGAACTACCTTTAAGAAACTGCTGAAACTTTCATAAATCTAGTTGTTGCATCTCTTTTTGTTCAGCTGCATGGCTTTCATGGCATGGCTCTCTTGGTTTCCACACTGCCTTCCCCCCCTCAACCTCTTCTTCATCTTGAATAAAGTGAAACTGAATTTTATTTTACTGAAATGTAATTATTATTTGTTTTCTTTATATACTGCTTTAATTAACAAGTAATACCATTACTCAGAATCTTGCAGGTCAAGTCACATCCTGTCTCTGAGAACTAATGGTCAAACTTCTGTTGTAACCATCTCAGTGAAAATAGAATTATAGACTTTAGAATTTCCCTTTGGCTTATTGTGAAGACAAGGTTTTAATAACTGGATTAACATGTATAAGCTTCTTTTAACATTGTTTTGTTGGTTGTGGTTTTTTTCTTCTGTTGCTGCATTGAAAAAACAAAGATGATGATGCCAAATTATAGAAGCATAGACTGGTTTTGTGTTGGAAGGCACCTTACAGATCACCTAATTCCAACCCCTCTGCTGTGTGCAGGGTAACCATCTACTAGACCAGGTTGTTTAAAGCCCCATCCAACCTGACCTTAAACAACTCCAGGGAAGAGGCATTGACAACTACTCTGGCCAACTTGTTCCAATGCCTCACCACACTCACAGGAAGGAATTTCTCTCTAGAATCTAATCTGAACCTGCCCTCCTTCAGTTTGAAGGGATTCCCCCTTGTCCTGTCACTACGTGCCCTTAGTAGTTCCCTACCAGCTCTCTTACTTTGAAGTACCCCTTTAAGTGCAGGAAGGTGCTAGAAGGTCTCCCTTGGGCCTTCTTTTCTCCAGGCTGAACCTCTCCAACTCTGTCTTCATAGGAGAGCAGCTCCACGCCTCAGACCATCTTCCTGGCCTTCCTCTGGACAATCTCCCATTTCTGGTAGGACCACTCTTCAATTTGGGACCCCAGAGCTGGATGCAGTGCTCCAGGTGGGGTCTCACCAGAGCGGAGTAGAGGGGCAGAGTCACCTCCCTCACCTCACTGGCCACGCTGCTTTTGGTGCAGCCCAGGATACAATTGGCTTTCTGGGCTGCAAGTGCATATTGCTTGCTCATGTCCAGCCTCCCATCCACCAGCATCTTCAAGTCCTTCTCAAAGTTGCTCTCACTACATTCTCCTCCCAGCCTGTATCTGTGTTTGGGATAACCAAATTCTTACGTAATTCCTTTTTTTTTTCTTTTCCCTACACATACAATTCTGTATGTATGCCATTAGCTATTTATTATCTTGAGCATTTCACAAAATTATTTTTACAAATGGATTTAGGATTTTTTTCTGACCAGTATGCACAAGTACATCTATCCATCACCTAGGAGCCAAATTTTATTTGATCTGTGCAAATATGATCTTGGTCACAATTTTTGCTCTTGTGACTTCAAGAATCTAAAGCTCACTAACTTCACACACAAGTTTTTTATAAAGAGGTTTTGATTGTCTTCAGGGCAAATCTGGAACAAGAATTCTAAATATTCTTTTAATACTTCAGGGGAGGAGTAAATTTGTTTTAAGTCTCCTCCTACGAGGAATGAAAGAATGTCCAGGGAATTTATTAACTCATCACCTCTTGATCGATACATCAAAGGCTGAAAAAAATGTCATTGCTGGAACAGGCGTGATGAGATAGGACACTAATAGGCAAAAAGGGAAACCTCCCTTTTTTTTTTTTGCTGGATGTCTCCCAAGTTTTTTTATCTTTGTGCATTTTCACTCCTTGTTGCATCAAACAGATTGAAAACTATGTGCAGAAGTTCATCTTGGTACCTGCCCTCATGAATGTTTTTCATTGTTGATTGGGAAGTGTGAAAGAAAAGCATTCTTGTACTGATGGGCCCTGCAAAACCGTAACTGTCTCACCATCTGCAAAGCTTATGCTTCAGCAAAGCTAGGCTTCCATTATTCACATAGACAGCAAATCTTGACTCAAGATATGAAACCTTTAAGAGTTTAAATGCATTTTTCCAGAAGTTCCCAAGGAGCTAAACTCTATCAAGCAGTTCAAGTGTTTGGGCATTTCATATGCTTTCTTCTATTAAATCTGCTGCCCTAGAATGAGTATTTCTCTTGATGTCTTTTCATGTGGCTGAAGTTCTTAAGTAAAACTCCAATATCTACAGATTTTATGACAAGAAATGACTTTGAATTATTTTTTGAGAAGCAATGGTTAGTTTAGGACAGCAGGTTTGAGGGACATATCGTGACATCAGATCTTATAGAGGAGCGTAGAGATGACGTGTTTGGAACATGAACAATATTCTCACAAGATGTGCCGTTTTATTCTGTGCCTTCTGTCACCCTCCCTTGGCTGCTTCTCTTTCAGCAAGTACCTGAGGCACTGTACCCTGTACCTCATCCCAGGACGTATCACACTGTTCCCTCAGTGTGGAGTACTGCCATCCACTCTAGTATGGACACAATGTTATAGGTCAATGTCTTTCCCTCATAGAAAACATTAAAGCGTTGTAAGAACAGGCTTCTATCACTTGTTCCAACAATAAAGAAAGGGCAGGTAACTCAAATGTTAGACTGTTTTCTCCCGGACACACAACTTTTTCTGTGCTGCTGGAAAAAAGGGCATCTGTATTGTTTAATGTGTGAAATGGCAAGCATTTTTTATGGGCAGTGAAAGGTCAGTGTGTGCTTTTCACAGAACTGAGCTGTGAGAACTATCACCTGGCTGAATACACAAAAGCACTACTCAAGCTGAAAAATCAGTAGAACTTAAGTTTTTTCTGTGCTGAACAGAAATTACTATTTTATGCTAATAGTAAAAACTATTGATATAATGTTTTCTCTTAGAAAAATAGCATTTTCATTTATTTGAATACAGAACCTCAGCACATCTTTTGAGCTTAATTGCCTGTGTTAACAGGCTGTTCTGCTACAATGGTCTCCTTACCAGTGCTGCCAAGTTAGCTGATCAAGTGCCAGTGACTACCACAAATTTTACATGGGTAAGATTGCCCTCATGTCTTTATTAATTTTGTCAGAGAATGTTTGACCCAGTGAAGGAGAACTGACTGTGCTATTAGTGGTGCTGACATTTTAGTGATTTGTGCTGGGGCAGGGAGGGGTGGAGATGGGAAAATGTCTGGAAATCATCTAAAGGAGAGCCTTTACTGCTCTCTAATCCATGGAAAACTACGCATGAAGCTTAATGACAGCAAAATGCAAAGTGCAAAAAGCAAGTTATGTTAGTGGTGTAGAGGAATTTAAGGCCTAGTTTATTGCAGGCACCTGTGGCTGATCTCTCAGTGAATGCTGAGAACATTTGTTAAATGCCTTCTGTTTGAGAAATATTATTGTAAGGCACTTGAACAAAAAGGCAGTGATATGTGAGTCACAAATATTTAATTTTTGTAATTTGTTAAAAACTGTGGGTTAAGGAAGAAAATGTGGACAGTATCTGAACAAACTGATTTTATATGTAAATATCAAATTACCATAAAGGTATAATCTCTTGTTGGCATTTTCTCATTCATCTGTTAGTGGAACAAAAACTATTACAACACTGCTTTCTAAAATTTGTGGAGTATACTTTTTTCAATTGTAAACCTTACAGGTCAAAGTAAATTTTTACAAAAACCTATTGAAATTATCCAGCATATATTAATAACTTGCTACACTATTGTAGTATAGTGTCAAATACCATGAGAGATTAAGTTTTCCAAAACACAGAGAGTAAGCAGGATTCTCTTTGGCCAAGAAGGGGGCAAAGCTTCTCTGTAGCTATTAAATTATTGTAACGCTTTCAGTTACTGATTGTAGGAGTCAACGTAGAATCATAGAATCATTTAGGTTAGAAAAGACCTCCCAGGTAAATGAATGCAACCTTTGACTGATCACCACCTTTTCAATTAGACCATAGCACTAAGTGCCACATCCAGTCGTTTCTTGGAACACCTCCAGGGATGGTGACTCCACCAACTCTCTGGGCAGCCTGTTCCTGAACCGTTCCTGGCATGGCTTGAGGCTTGATATATGTCTTGCAGAATACAATACTGTATTAAGTAATAGAATACATCTATGATAATTTTCATAGTCTTTTTGGTGACATTAAGCATCAGTAACATTTGTTAAGGAAAGTTATTCAGGCTGCTTTTATAACTTTGAGCTTTTATATAGATAACAAGTTATAAAAATGAATGCAAAACTATACTATGGGTTTTTACTATATAAAGAGTTGGATTAATAGCCATATTCCCCAAGTTCCCCCTGTATCTTTCTCTTAAGATCAAAGATGAAAAAGGTGCTCCTTCTCGTTAATAAATTGTGATTGTGAGACTAATGGCAATGCAATGACTGCAAGAAATCACTTAAGAATGTCCACAATGCTCCAGTAAAAACCCAAAGTTTCAGTAAAACCGAGTAACTTAAGTTTGTTTTTTAAAGGATATTGTAGAAAACTCACATACCAGATATATTGCATAATTCTGCTTTCTATGTCCAATGAGTAAAACCTAACTGGTTTAAATAGAACTTTTAGGCTTAGAAAAACCTACATACCAAATATATTGCATAATTCTGCTTTCTGTGTTCAATGAGCAAAACTCGACTGGTTTAAATAGAACTTTTAGGCTTTGTGAAAATAGTGTGAGATAAATGCTTACCTGTATAACTGAAAATTAACTAATTAGATGAAAATACATGATTTTCTCTTCTAGATTTTTTTAATTTAAGAACAAACTGACTGAAGTATTCAGAAACTAGGGGTATCTAATGATAGTTTCAAATAAGACCTTTCTTTCTTCCTTCAGTTCTACAACAAAAAGTAATATTCAACTACACTCTCTAGACAGAAGCATACACAAATCACATCAGCTAGAGATCAGAAAGGTTTTTTTGAAATATTTTAAAATAATATTTTAAAATATTGCACTGACTGATCATTACTCTTCATGTTCTATACCCTTTTGTTTGCTGGGTTTTGGAACACCGTTCTGAGTGGCATGATGGCATGTGGAATCAATGTAAGGCTTAATAATAGAAATTTATTTAGTTCTTGTATGAGGTAGTGAGTACCCATGGACTGCTGCTCTATGAAAGGCTCTTCTGACCTCACAGTGAGAGCCGAAGCAGGATGTATCAGTTGAAATATCTGATATTAATCTACAGTAA